AGTGAGTGAGTGAGTGAGTGAGTGAGTGAGTGAGACAGTGAGTGAGTGAGACAGTGAGTGAGTGAGTGAGTGAGTGAGACAGTGAGTGGGTGAGTGAGTGAGTGAGTGGGTGGGTGAGTGAGTGAGTGAGTGAGTGGGTGAGTTAGTGAGTGGGTGAGTGAATGAGTGAGTGAGTGAGTGAGTAGGTGAGTGAGTGAATGGGTGGGTGAGTTTTCATTTCTTAAATTGTTTTCCCCATGTGCCTACAACCTCCCTGTAACAAGACAGCAAGGGAAAATGAGTGGAGAATCTTATTTGCAGTCTAATCTTGAGCTGGACCGGAGCTTTAAAAGATGTTTCCGTGTGATCCAGAGTTTAGGAGTCAAACCATGCTCGACACTGGGAGTCAGGATGTTCTTGCTGCTGGAGGGCTGCCCTGTGCGCCCAGCGCGTGCAGTAGCACGGCCAGCAGCACCTCACCTCCCTTTGGTTCGACAATGTAAGCAACAGTCTGTGGCAGGCCAAAGTTAACCCCGCTGAGAACCACTGGTCCAATCTAATCTCCTCAGACTTGTGGTGTAGGCTAACTGAAATGTTTCTCTAAAATTAAGATGCTGTCATGGAGAGAGTGTAATGTTTGTGTCAAATATTAATCTTAAAAGTCTTTTCACATACTCAATCCATGGTGTCTTGCCTGATGAAAGAATCGTCACCAGTTTCATGGCTTTGGGTGTCGATCTTTAGACCTGACCACATTTTATCTTTTCCTACTTGGTACTAAGTCCAGGAGCTGCTGCTGCTGCTGTTGTTGTTGTTGTTGTTTTAGAAGCCATCAGCTCAGTTCCAACCCCTAGCAATCCCATGTACAACAGAATGCACACTGCCCAGTCCTGAGCCCTTGGGTGCTGTAAACAGTTAAGTGATCAATCACTAACCAAAAGTTTGGTGTTTTCAAGCCACCTGGCAGTCCCTCATAAGAAAGTCCTGGTGATTTTCTTTTTAAAAGATCACCCCCTTAAAAACCACCTTCTGCGCCAACACACACGGTTTCCATGGTTGACGGCGATGGATTTGGATTTGCCATTTTGTTTGTTTGATTGGTTTTACATAAAGCCTGATTCCATAACAATTGCTCTTGAAAAAAGACTTTACTATGATATACTTCTCAATATGAAAATGGCTAGTCAAATGTAAATGCCCACTGGCTAATTACCATTTCCTCCCTCCATGTAGTCAAATAAGGAGCCTTCTCTATTGGAAAGACTTTTGCTCTCTGCTCCACACCAAAGTCCTCCGGGAGCTGGAAATTTCTAACAGCTGTCTTGATGATATTTTTGAAAGGATTCTTACTAAAGCACTGATGCATCCCAACTGTCAACTTCAAACACTCAGGTAGTATCAATGTCTGTCTCCTCCTTCAAGGTATCCCTGGGTGCAGCAGGACGCTTCTCCTTCTCCTCCGTTGGGGACAGCATACAAGACAGTGTCCCCACAGGATAAAAGTAATACCAGGTTCAGGAATTAAATAGGCGACTATCTGAAATGGAGAGGGAAGAACGTACTAATATCCTTGTTAATGTCTCCAGAAAAGAAAACGGATTCACAAGCCCCATTCCCTGATAGAATGATCGGCCATTTGAGACCACAAGGGTCATATTTACCCAAGGCTGAAGTGGAAAGGTTTAGGCAAGAAGGAGAACTGGAAATGGGAAACAGAGGGGAGAATCGTATAAGCGATAGGATCGAAGGGATTGCAGTAGATGAGTGGATGCCAACTCATAGTGACCCCACGGGACCGGGGAGAGCTGCCCCTGTGGGTTTCTGAGAACGTCACTCTTTGGGAAAGCAGAAAGCTTCATTGTCCTGTGGACCTGCTGGTGGTTTAAACAGCTGCCATTGGCAGCCCAATACACTAGACCACCGGGGCTCCTCTTGGTTACCAAAGTCAGTGTGAATGGGGTTTATAAAAAAATCTAGTGGTGCAATGATTAAGCTTTTGATAGCTGACCCAAACATTGGAAAGCCTGGTAGTTCAAACCCACAAGCTGTGCTTCGGGAGGGAAAAGATAGCAACCAGCTCTGGAAATACTGCTGTCTTGGGAGCTCTGTAAAACCTCAAAGTCCACGGTCATCGAGTGGACTGGGACTCATAGTGACCCACAGGACCGAGCAGAGCGGCCCCTGTGAGTTTGGGAACTGCGCTGTCTGAGAATTCTGTGAGCCGGAATGGGCGTGTGGCATGGGTTTATTGGGTGAGAAACCGTTCTAGAGCAGGGAGAACCTACGCTGGATGTGGCCAGGGGCTTGATCCATTTCCTACACGGGGGGGGGGGCTTCAAAAGTTCATGGAGCAACAACATTGAAATACAAGGGATTTTTTTCATAAAATGTTGAAGCCCCCTTGTATTAAATAAAGCTCATGTGTCTTATAAGCCTTGCTGCTTCTGGGGGACATTGGTCACGGAACACTGTTGTGCCACCAAGTCCTTTGCAGTGGATGGTGACTCTGTAGGACACAGTAGAACTGTGCACAACGGCATCCTCTCCCCTGTTCCACGGGTGGTCTGAGCACCTACAGCTCAATTTTCCACTCCCACGTCTAGAGGGAAAACGGACTGCCACGCCTTTCTCCCCAGGAGTGCCCAGCGAGTTTGAACTGGCAGCCTTTTGATAAGCAGTTGAGTGCTTTCAGCAACCCGCTACCAGGCCCCTCCGTTTATAGAGACGCTTGGTGCAAATATACTTAGGCTTATCAGGGACTTGGGTCTCTCCTGACCTTCTGCTCGGCCATCCTTCACGGGCCCCTAGTTCTTGTCCCCAAATGGAGGCCATGACAAAGCTATTGCCTTGAGTTTTCACTTTAACTTCACAGGGAATAATGAAAATCTCTGGGCATTATCTTTGATCCCCGTTTCTTTCACACCCCACACGCAGACCATTGGAAACTCCTCATTAAAAAAAAAGTTTTCATTGAAGGTTTACATCACAGTTTCGCTTCCCATTTCTCCCCAGATTGTTCCATGCGATAGACTGTGTTCTTCACCACGTTTGAGCCTCCTCCTCCTCCTCCTTTCCATTCTGGTGGCTCTATTACATTCATCTAGCTTCCCTACCCCTTACATACTCATCTCTCTTTAAAAGTAATTGCTTGGTCTCATATAGATTTTTGAAATATTTATGTTCAGGGGCGCGGTACTCACAGGTGACCCATTCTTTTGTGAGCCAGTCCTTTAAGTAGGCGACCACAGGGGCTAGTTTCGGTTCAAGGTTTAAAGAGTGTCTCGGAATCCGTTTTAGTTTTACAGTGAACCCTCGTTTATCGCGGTTAATCGGTTCTAGACCCTACCGTGATCAATGAAATTCCGCGAAGTAGGATTCCTTACTTGTAAATCAAATATTTTCGTAGTTAGAGCATAGAGGACATGAAAAAACACCCTTTAGTCACCATTACACTCGTATTACCCAATTTATTAAACGAAAAAGGGAAAATACAGTAAAACATTTTGGACGTTACAATTATCATTTATTATTATATTATTTATGGCATCAAGCGTGTACAGTATGAGCCCATCAGTGGCAGTAATGACAGAGCATGCGCTGTTACGCAAGAACCGCGATAGAGTGAAGCCGCGGAAGTCGTAGCGCGAAGTGGCGAGGATTCACTGTACAGTCATAACCCGTCAAGCCAGTCTGGACTTTTTAAGAATTTACAGTCCTGATCCACATTTCCCCTTTCCCATTCTATAAGGATTCATTCACTAGAGTCCTCACCAGAGGGTCCGTCTGGTCCTGCCTGGGGCAGATGAGGCAGCAGGGCCGTGGTTTATGTGAAGAGTCCTATAGATGACTTTCTTCCGAATCTGACCTCATCCTTACTTTTTGGTTCCATACGCAAAGAGACCATTCGTTTGTGTGTTCGCTGACTGTTTACAAAGCCTTTGAGGCCCCAGACGCTACACACTAAAGTAGGATATTGAATGTGAACTTTGTGCCAATTGACTGCGTAACTCCTAATTCTGGAAAACATCCCAAGCCGTAACCACTTTACGCATGTTCTGAACCGTTACTGATGTGACCTACGTCTCCATCTCCTGTTTGGACATCTGTAGAATCTTCCTGCCTGATCTCACTGTGAGACTAGAACAAGGTCCCTCGGAGGAACTCTTTAAGGAAAACCAAGGCAGTAGCGTATGATAATGACCCAGTGTGATGCCTTCCGTCGTATACAAAGTGTTGTAAATCCTGACCCTAGCCCTGTGGATGCAATCCCCTTTGGGAACAAGAGTTTTCTCTGTTATGCAGCTTGAGGTTATATCCAGTGTTGGGTGTGTCTGAAGCCAGACATTTGGGAAAATAAGACAAAACTGTTTCTGGTGAAGGCTCATACATCGCTGGTAGGTTTCCATTCACTGGTTTTTCTCCAAGTTGTCAGTGATATTGTTTACATTTCTCCCAGTGCATGCTAACCCATCACATTTGAGATAGAAAAGAACAGGTTAGACAAGGAAGCACCATTTGCACCACAGTGTAAAGATCACTCACCAAGGAATGCCACCAGAGCTAGAGAAATGGTGAAGGTAATCTTCGCCAGAACAGAGCCTTCCCCTAGAGCTGGTGCCAGGAATTCAGGCTGCTAGCCTCCTGAGCTGAGTATACAAAAGCCTGTCCGATAAGGCTGTGTTTCTCTTACGGCAACACTAGACAACTAAGCCCCTCAGAGGTTATCTTTAAGGTGACAGGCTAGCATGGGCAGTCTCAGGGGACCGGGAGGAACCTGGCTGGGGACCTCCGTGTCTTTGCTGGACATCCAGGTGTGTGCGGATGAGATCACATCAAAACTCTGCCAACCTGTTCTGCGGTGAACGCGAAATAACGAACAAGATGTGCACACTCTCATGTGACTTTCATGTCTAAACTTGCCTACCATTTTATGTTTGGAACCGCTGGACAACACAAGTAGGTCAGCATGCAATCACTAGCTGAAAGGTTGAGGGTTCAAACCCACCCAGAACTTCCCCCAGAAACCAGGGCCAGCAATCAGCTTTTGAAAGCGCACAGCCTTGGAAGGAGCCTGTGCCCCGTTTTACTCTGCACTCAACGGGCTCCCGTTGAATCGGAATGCACTGACCAGCAACTAGCAACCGATTTTGTGTTTTGCAGGCTGGCGCATCTCACTACCGATGTCTTCTGTGAAGGCTTGCTCAAGGCTACCCCTCATAACAAGAATCTAAAACACTTGATCCTGACTTGTATGCTTATTTCCCCAAAGATGGTTTCACTTCTGCAAGAGGTCCTGGCCCATCCAACGAGCAAAATACAGCACCTGAGGTATGTGAATGCTGTCTGAGTATGGAGTGGGCCTGCAGGGAGGGCTGGGTACTGGTGTATAAACTACTGATTCGGTGCCATGCAGTCGATCCCGGGGCATGGGGCCCCCGGTGCATCATGGTAGAATCCTGCTCCATAGGATGTTCAGTGACTGGCTCCTTAGAAGTGGATAGCGAGGCCTCCTTCCAAGGCACTTCTTGGAGGAGTTCCGTCTCCAACTTTCGGCTTAGGCAAGTGCATTACCTGTTTATACCACCCAGGGATCCAGTTGCATGTGGAGATGCCCTTTTAGATACCAGTGCCTGTTACTTCCCCTTGGTGTGCCCCTCGTTTCGTGGGAGATTCTGAGCCCATCACTTATTTCTCTCTCCAGCATTCGTCCTGTTGTTTTCTACAGTCGCCATTTTTTAAAATAGGGAGGCTCCTTCCTGTAATGGGTCTTATTTCCTTGAACTATACTCCCTGAATGACCTAGTCCCTCGGCTCCTCGTCAGGCAGCAGACTACCCTTCTCAGACTGTAGCAGAACACTGCCTAATAGAAAGACGAGGGAGCTTCGTGGGAAAATCCCACGATTCCCCTCCCCACCACGCCCCTTAGTGTGGTGATGCCGTGTCTGTAGAATAGGATGGCTCTGTACGTTTTTCAAGGTCGTGATCTTTGGGAAGTAGATCTCCAGGTCTTCCTTTTGAAGGGCACTGGGTAACTTTGAACAGTCAACTTGTTGACTCGTGGTCCAGCACTTAGCCATTTGTGCCGCTCCGGGACTCCTTATGTGATGTTTTATGTAATCTTAAAGAGAATATATATATGTGTGTGTGTGTGTGTGTGTGTGTGTGTGTAGTTACATAATCTGTCAACTTGAAAGGGGGTGGAGTGTAGCCTGTCAAGCAGGTCACAGCCAATGAGGCCTCTGTGTGGGCATGGCCTTCTCCTGAAGATTCTGGGAACTCCTATCTCCTTCCCTGGAGGCGGCACATACTCTCTCTGCTTGTCTCCCTGTGAGACATTCCTGTTGACACGCCACATGGAGACACTCTGATGGCAGCCAGGGCCCTGAAGCCGGAAGAGCCACATGGAGACCTCTGCCAGTGCTGAGATGCTTCCACCACCACTGGATGCACAAGACTTCCCACCTACTGGCCTGTGATTGTCCTGCATTCAGCGTCATTGCATGTGTTGCGTGAGTCTGAAAAAGACTTTATAGACTGGTAGTGGACATGTGGGCTTATATTGGACTTGTGGACTTGATCTGGACTGGGTTGGGAGGCTTTCATAATACACAGTTATTTTGATATAAAGTTCTCTGTTGCACACATATGACTGTCTATGCATTTGTTTCTCAAGCCAACCGGACTGACACAATATATCATTTCAAAGAGAATGTATCCTATTAGAATAACCAGACAAGCAAACTCACGGCCACTGAGTCGCTGCTGATTCAAGGTGACCTTCCTGTGGGTTTCAGACTGTAACTGTTGACGGGAGTAGAAAGCTCAGTCTTTCTCCCTCGGAGCTGCTGGTGGTTTTGAACTACAGACCATGCAGATCAAAGCCAAATGCTTAACCACTACACCACCAGGGCGCCCTGTTATTCGGATAACAGGTTACCCTTCATGTTCCACTTTAATGCATTTCATTTAAAACCTCTTAAAATTTATATATAGTATTGGCCATCTAAGGAGTCCTGGTGGCGTTGTTGGGTAAGTGTGGGGCTGCTAACCACAAGGTCAGTAGTTCAAACTCACTAGTCACTCCAAGGAAGAAACATGAGTGTATTTGCTCCCACAGAAATTTACAACGTTGAAAACCCTGTATGGCATGGATTCCCAAACCTATTTGGCCTACCATCCCCTTTGCATGAAAAAATAATTTACTTGGCGCCCCCTGGGAATTCAAACAAACAAACTGATGCTATGACCCACAATCCAGGATCAAGTGTAGCTATCTGATTTTGCAGCTCCACCCACCCCCACCATCCTTCCAGTGCCCCCTCCCCCCAGCGCAGGTATTGCCCACTCCAGGAAATACTGCTATATTGCTAGGGTGCCTAGGGGTCAGAATTTGCAGTGCGCGTGGCAGTGGGTCTTAAGAGTTCAAAGAATGTAAGGTTGATTGGTTTTTGTTTGGAATGATCAACTGTGTTTTCATTCAATTTTCCCGCAAACTTTTTGAAGTCCCTTTGTGTGGTGGGAGAGACTATCATTTAAAACTGTCCAATAGCCACATTTAAAATAAAAAAAAAAAAGCAAAGGAAGTGGGTGAAATTCGCTTTAATATATCTTAACTCAATCATTCTATTTAACTCGGCTTGGCCCTGAAGTCACTTGCCTAGCCCCTTTAACAAAAACCCAGCTATATGTAATTTCTATTTTAAGAGTAACCATTCATGAAATTTAGAATTCTCTTAGGTCATGAAAATGTCCGATGTGTTTGTCTGCTAGCCACAACAGTGGATATTCCAGCCCAGCCAGAGGAACTTAGAGAAAGACTGGTAGTCCCCTTCTGAGAAACAGGCCATTAAAATCCCAATCACGCGGCAGCTCTATGCTGTCGCAAAGGATCGCCATGAGCCTGAGATGCTCTGCATTGAGATTTCATAGCCTCTCCCACCCCTTTCAGTCTTGAAGACCCAGGGTGCATTTTTCAGTCATAGCACATCTTCAGAAAGCTAACTTTGGAAATACTACTGGTCTCTTGGTTTCATGAATTTTACAATAGAAAGTCAAACCAAAATGTTAAAATATGTACTTAGGGGTTTCGAGCAACCAAATCAAATCCAGTCTTTCATTTGCGTAAATGAAAATCAACGACAATGGAGTTCAGTCGCACGAGTTGTGTTTCAAATACTCAGTAGACACTCGTGATTACTGGCTTCCATACTGGAGAGCGAGACTATGTCTTGTCAAGAAGTCTCTGGGTGGCGCAAATAGTCACTTGCTCAACCACTCGCTCCAAGATTGATGCTTCTAACCCATCCAGAAGAGCTTTGGAAGGTAAGTCTGGCCATTTGTTTCCACAAGGTGTCAGCCTTGAAAACCCTGTGGCACTGCACACACACGGGGTTGTCATGAGCGAGAATCGACCAGACAGCTGCTGGTTTACTTCGGTTTTGGTGTATAGGGCAAGATTTTAAAAAATCCTTTTCCATCGGAAGTGCTAAGTGGACTTACTTGGGTAAGGCCGATTTTATTCATAAGACTACTTTGACCAAACAATAGTTTAGCTTTTTAAACAAAGAACACCTGCCTTGAACACTGTGCTCTTTGAAGAACAATCTTTCTGGGATCAAATTGACCATCACAACTAGCCGGGAAACTTGGAGAACAGGAGCTTGTCAGCGGGGGGAGGAGCGATTAGGGAAAGCGTGAACATGTTTGCCAGATGTGGAGATTGTAACAAATGGCAATGAATACTCATCGAGAGATTGGCCGAGTTGGTCTATGTTCTGCTCTGTCTATTCCAACACAAACTAGTTTATTTGCTTTTTATAAAGGAGAATGTACAAGTTAACTTTATCTGAATTTGTCTCACAGCTTGATAAAATGCGATGTGAACTTGAGTGAGTGGAGAGGGATCTCCTCTCTCCTCAGCAGCGCCAGGAACCTGAAAAAACTGACATTATCCAACAACCAACTGAGCACCCAGGTGGTGGATATCCTCTGTGAAGCTTTGCTCCAATCGGGCTGTGCTCTGGAATCACTGGTGTAAGTTGACGTGGGCAAGCCCGCTCTGTAGACACTGGGGTACAGTTGGAACATCTTAGTCATACAGTCGAGAAGAAACGAGGCTTGCAGGTGAGGAGGGGTGGGGTGGGGGGTGGAATTACCACACAGCATAACATGTGAAGACACTGTGTGTAGAATCTGGTCTGAGATCAGATTGAGTGACAACTAACAGCATAGGGTTGACGAACGATAGTTAGGTTTTCTCAGCCTCTATCGCACAATCTAGAGAATAGGAGCATCCCAAGACCAGCATCGTGGGTTTGAAGAGAATGAAAGACAGAATTAGGATGGGTCTATGGAGTTCCTGGGGAGGACAAATGGTTAAGCCCTTGACTGCTGGCGGAAGGGTAGGTGGTTGGAATACACCTAGAAGTACTTCCCCCCAAAAAGGCTTAGAGATCTGTTGCCCAAAGGCCACGCTCTTGAAGGCCCTGTGGAGCGCAGGTCTACTCTGCGCCCGAGATGAGTCTGACGCACGACGCCACCAGCAGACACTGACCGCACACTCACTGTCGCGAAGTTGATGCGCGGAGACCCGATAGGACAGAGTAGAACCGCCCCTGTGGTCTTCTGAGACTGTAACTCTTTACAGGAGTAGAAAGCCTCCTCGTTCTCCTGTAGAGCAGCCAGTGGTTTTGAACAACTGGCCTTGTGGTTAACACCCCAGTGCGTAACTCATTACACGACCAGGGCTCTTCAACTAGCAACAAGGAACTTCCCAAGCAATCCTTGGAAGAACTAGCAGCCATACTAGATGTTTAGGGAACAAGGACCGAATGGTCTCCTCGACAGAACCCGCTGGTCTGTAGCGAGCTAGGTCTTCCAGCGATAACACCATAGGGACAGAGTTTGAACATGGACAGAAGCATTAGAGTCCATGGTAGATGGGGGTGAGTGAATGAATTGTGTTCCTGACTTGGGACTTTTTCTGTATTTGTGATCCTGTGCAGGTTATTCTACTGTGGTCTCACTAAAGCCTACTGTAGCTCCATTGGGACAGTTCTTTTGCTCAACAGAACCTTAAAACATCTGAACTTGAGTGTGAATTACCTACAAGACCGTGGTGTGCTGGTCTTATTTATTTCCCTGTTGGCACACACCAGTCAGCTACAGGAGCTGGAGTAAGTCTTGCCATTAGCTTCATGGGTGACCATCTCTTTACTGCGTGGGGATAGTGGAGTTGGCAACAGAGATGAGAATGTACTTCCATGATGTCCAGGTACACATAGTGGTGTGCCCAGGGCATAGAAACAAGCTCCTACAACATGCAGCTAGAGAGCCACCATCATCACCAGAACCAGTTGCCGTCGTACTGATTCCGACTCACGGAGACCCCGATGTAAGGCAGAGTCGAACCACACTCCATAAGGTCTTTGATTTGTTTTAGACCAAGTCCACTAGAGAAACAAAATCCAGAGACACTCATATATGTGTAAGAGAGAGCTTGATATCAAGAAGTAATTATATATCAAGCACACATCCCAGCCCAGTCTAGATCAAGTCCGTAAGTCTGATACCACTCCATAAATCCCTCTTTAGACTCACACAGCTACATGCAAGGATGCAGAATGCAGGAAGATCACAGGCCGGTGGGTGCAAAGTCTTGTGGATCCAGTGCCAGTGGAAGCATCACAGAGCAATGGCAGGTCTCAGCATGGCTTGTCAAAGGAAGGTGCAGGCAGAAAGAGAGAGAGGAGGTTCCCAGGATCCTCCTTATAAGAAGATCACACCCACAGGGAGGCACCATCAGGCTGTGACCTGACTGACAGCCTAGACTCCACCCCTACACTTTGTCAAGTTGACATTAAATTACGTAACTACCACACTTTTTGGGGGGAGTGCATATTTTTAGAAGTAGATTTACAGGTCTTCTGAGGCATCTTTAGGTGAGTTTGAATCATCCAACTGAACACCTAATGGTTTGTGCCTGAGACTCCCAGCATAACAGTAGGGTAAGCTTTGGCCAGGGGGTGCGGAGTAAATGTTCTGACAGAGAAGCAGCAAGTTTACAAAGTCCCTCAGACCTTCATTATAGCACAGGGAAGTGTGCCTACGCCTGTCCAGACTGGACGTACTCCGGAAAAGTTCTGTATGAGGAGACCCCAGAGCTTCCACACTGACCTGGATGGGGTGCATGTTGGTTGAGAATGGAACGTCTCCGGAGCTAGGCATCTTTCTCAGAAACTGGTCTGGTTGGGAAAGAGTACAAGTTGGCACAGTTTAGGGAGGTAGCCTTTTTTAAAAATAAAAAACACGTTTTATTAGCCCTTCCTCCACATGTCACACAGTCCAATAATTCAATCATAGTCAAGAAGAGCTGTACAATTATCCCCCACATTCAACTATAGAACATTTTGTTCTTCTCTGTAGTCATTGTTATTCATGTAATTTTTTTCTAATTGTGGCAACAGGAAGGTTGCCTTATCAAAGACACCTACCTGTGTGGGCCTTAGTCCAATGTTCCTCTGTTAACTAGTGTAATCAGGATGGGATGGCCCCTGACCAAAATCCTAGATGGAAGTAGGTAAAATGAGGATAGTAACCAACCTTGGGATCATTGTGTATGAAAGGCCATCACGCAAAGAGCCTAGAATACACATGGACACTTACTTACTCCAGCACTGCCCAGTGTCTTTAAAAGCGGGAGATCTAAACGCTTATATACAGATGAATGGATGACTAAAACAGGGCACCGGCATGAATTGGTACCCGCCCATAAAGAGAAATGAAGCCCGGACCCTTCTTAGCACGACGTGGACAGACGTAGAAATCATGCTGAGCGAAGCAACCATAAGATGACAACTCCGTATGATTTCACTTACCTGAAGCAAGAATAGGTAGATGTATAGACACTAACGTTCATTAGCGGTTATCAGGGACAGGATGAAGAGAAAGGGGAGGAGTCGTGGACTAGGAAGTGGTGGGATTCTGTTCATGGTGATGGGAACTTGGCAATGGTTATGGGTGGTGATTGACTAGCATGATGCATGTAATCAATAGCACCTGAAAACAAACCCATGCCTAGAATAACGCCTGGTATCTTGTAGGCATGCTATAATGCTCATAATCCTGCCTTTGTCTTCCTTCCTCGTGAGCATCACGACAAGAGAGGTCCAAGAACACGCATCACATCACAGTAGGAGCCATTTGAGCCAGGTGGTCCTGACTGTAGATCATGTCCATCCTTTACAGGCTGTGTGGCTGTTTTTTCACCAGTTATGTCTGTCAAGAACTCTCCAAGGTCATTACTAGTGCCAACCTGAGGAGCCTGGAACTTGGAAGCAACGATATAGGGGATGCAGGACTGTTGCTGTTGGGTGAGGCCTTGACACACCCAAATTGCAAGTTACAGAATCTCGGGTGGGTGTTTGATTCGGTGGGGGGAGGCAGGGCTAGTTGTTCTTCTGTTCTGTTTTGGAGGTGAGGGAGGCTTAAGAACGGGACACGTGCAAAATGAAAGTGGGTTGTACCTTAGGCACAATGGTCTGCATGCCCAAGGCTTCTTCCTTGGGCTGTAAATTACTTCATCCAGCACTATTGAGGAGGTAGGCATTTGAAGTCTAGCTAGTTTATGCCCAGCTGGTCTGCTTGCCATTTCCCCCAAGGAAGGGTCCTCCCTCACCGTTGCATATCCTTGCTGCAGGCTGGAGGAGTGTAAGCTGACTGGAACCAGCTGCCCAGTTCTTGCCTCTGTTCTCGTACGCAACAGAACACTAATGAAGCTCAATCTGATCGGAAATGAACTGGGTGAGGAGGGAACTGTGCGGCTCCTGGAGGCCTTGGGACACCCCGATTGTTTACTTCAGACAATTGGGTAAGTTGGGTGCTCTTTCGCATGATGATGCGTCCTTGGGTGGCATAAAGTGAAGGGCTTGGCTACTGACCCAAAGGTTGGCCGCTTAACTCCACTAAGAGTTGTCTCGGAAGAGGTATACCTCTGAAAGGTCGTTGAGAACCCCACGGAGCCTAGCTCGATTGTGAAACACAGCATCATCGGAGCCAGAACTGACTTGGTCAGGTAAAGTGAAATTCTGGGGTAGGAACTAGGGTGTGCAAGATGGTGATGCACCCCATGGCTGGCTGAACTTTGAAAGCTGAAAACACTCTCTCTCGCTGAAAGATTGAAAATGTATATAGAGAGCTTAAAACAGAATACATAGTCACTGCTGAGTAAATGGGGACTTTGTATATATTATATCTTATCAATTGTGGGTGACCAGCCTCCCCACAACTGAATGGGTCCAAGGAGGCAGTTGTGTAATTGAAGGATAAATTAAAGAACAACAGACAAGACATGCAAGGCTCCTCTTCCAATGGAGAGGAGAACCGAGAGAGGGAGTCATGCATTCTCTCACAAGCCTATGTAACCTCGGGCATGCAAGCCATGGTAAGCATATACGTAAAAGAAAGGGGTTGCATCAGAATAGTGGTTCTCAACCTTCCTAATGCCATGACCCTTTAATACAGTTCCTCATGTTGTGGTGACCCCACACACACACACCATAACATTATTTTCATTGCTACTTCATCACTGTCATTTTCCTACTGTGATGAATCGGGTGACCCCTGTGAAAGGGTGGTTCGGCCCCGAAAGGTGTCGCGACCCACAGGTTGAGAACCGCTATATTAAAGGCATACACTTAACAGGAGGGGGACGAGCTAGGGGTGTACACACAATAGGAAGGGGAGGTGCTAGAGGCACACGGGAGGTACATATGTAATAAGATGGGCGGGTTCTAAAGCGAGAATGGCAGTCCAGCCTTGGTCTTCTTCGAGCTGACTTGACTTTAAGTGTCCCCGGGCTCTTCTCGGGGGAACCATCTGTGATCCTTATCAGAAGGGTGTGTGCCATACTTTGGGTTAGGTGGTCTGACTGCTTTTGATGGCAGATAACCTTTAGGCAGGTAGCCTTTGAGCAGGTGACCTTGAAAGGTATAGTAAGCAACCACGTATTTGCAAACAGCACTTTAAAACTGGCATTATTATGGGGGGACGTCATGGGGAATAACTTTTACTCAGGAGAATGTGAGTGGGATGCCTCTCCAACCCACGATTGTGAGGACTCTTTCCTCCATGGGAATCCTGGCCTCTGAGGCTTCTTAGGTATGAGCATAGAAAACCATCCTCCTACACTCAGTTCCTGGTTCTTGGGTTCGTCCTACCTCCTGTTTTCCTCTGTGTGGTGGAGTAGCAGTCCATTGTGTGTAAAGCCCACGTTTTGTTTACCTGTTCATCTGTTGGTGGACATTTCTATTGCTACCTTTTCGACGACTGCACAAAATGCTGCAGTGAACATTGGTGTACAGGTTTGATGATCGCCTTCCCATTTCACTTCCTCTGGGTCTATCTACCGAAGGCGGGGGTTGCTAGGTCATATGCTAGTTCCGCGTTCTCCCTTTTGAGGAACCGTTTCCCAAGTGGCCGTTCCATTTCCTATCCAACAGCAATACACGATGAAGGTTTGAGTCTGTTCACCTTGTCAACACTGTTTTTCTTTGTATAAAAACTTTTTCTTTTCTTTACTGGCCTTCCCTTGTCCATCCCGGGCTCCATCTCCAGCTGGCCAACCATTGTGGGTTCTGGGACCTCTTCAAACGAGCCTGGGGCCAGAGAGAGAGAGGATGTATCCCCGACAGCCCTAGCCAGTCTTCTATAATCGTCCAAGACTGTAATCCTTAATGGGAATAGAAAGCCCCACCTTTCTCCCCGCTATAAAACACAGGTACCACTTGTGCACTGAACGGACATTTCCGTTTTGCCTCAGTGGGCTGCATCACCTGCCTTGGGAAACACTGCTGCGTGTCTCTGTGGGAGCCGACGCTCACCTCTCGGAATTGCAGAAGCCGGTGGTTTAGAACCCTCCGACTCATGATTGGTCGAGGAATACGCCCACGCTGGAGCCCAGCTCCCAACTGACACCCTTACACACCTGCCACGCCGCAGAGCACCTCGACCCCAGCAGTTGGCACACGTAATGACCCATTGCACAAGGAGAAGCTGTGAAGGCACACCGAGTCCCTGCATAGGAACTGAGGCGAGAAAGATAGAGGGCGAACCAGATACCCCATCTGTTTACTGTTGATATTGAGTAGAGCAAGCATATCCATAGGTTCAAAATGCCATAGAGAATGACCTCAATTCACAATGGCCTCAAGGAGAGCCAAGTTTGGGACCCAGGCCTCCAACCACTCGGTCTCTCCAGACTTAGCTTCTCAGACCATTTAGAGCAGTGGTTCTCAATCTTCCTTTCATACAGTTCCTCGTGTTGTGGTGACGCCCAACCATACAATTATTTTTGTTGCTACTTCATTACTGTCACTTTGCTACTGTTATGAATCAGGCGACCCCTGTGAAAGGGTCGTTCGACCCCCAAAGGTGTCGTGATCCACATGTTGCTCCATATTTCAACTCACAGCTGCAGAGGCTGAGAAGGCTCACATTTCAGTCTTGACTCTTATCCTGGATCAAGTCTATCGAGTGGCTGATGGATGCAAGATGGGAGGTAAGATGGCAGACTTCTTCCTCCAAGATGTTGAGACTGACAACTACAGAGACACGGGAGTAATGACAGGGTTCTGTCTCAAATCCCAAAACCTTCAGGTCAGATGAAGGGTCCAGAACCTTTACAAAATCATTGTATTGGGGGCTTGTACAACTCATCACAATCCATCCCTTGTGTGAAGCCCATTTGGACATTTGTTGCCCTCATCATTCTCAAAACATTTGCTTTCTCCTTGAGCCCTTGGCGTCAGCTCCTCGTTTTTCCCCTCCCTCATGAACCCTTGATAATTTATAAATTATGATTATTTTGTCATGTCTTACACTATCCAACATCTCCTTTCATCCACTTTTCTGTTGTCCAGCCC